ATGGATGAAACACATCACTGAAAAAACAAAGAAAGTATATTTGTTCAAGAAGACTGTTGCTGCATAGCATGGCTGATAAATAAACAGCTGTAAAAACTGATCTTAAGAAATTGAAGCATAGATCTAGTTCTGCAGCCTTATCTAGAATAATCTGGTCTGCAACGGCCAAAAAGGAAATTAAAACTACTCACAGAAATTAGAGGCAGAAATCTCTAAGGAATCTTAAAACAAATGACTACAATGAGCCTTACTGCTATTTAACTTGATTTCCATGTAGTGGTGTATCTAGAAACACCGGTTGATAAAAAATAGGCTAATTCAAATTGTATTATAGCAAGCTGGTTGATTTTTTTTTTTTTTTTTTTTTTTTGCACGAAACCCTAAACATATTTTCTCCGGACCGCAAATCCCATCCGTTTTTGCATTATGACCTCTTTCCAGTGCACAAAGATTCACTCACATCATATTCTCCCTGTGTCAGCCCTCCCCCTCATGTCTAATGTATGTTCAGAGAGTCAAACACGTGTCAATAATTTATCGAGTATTCAAATGGAGCTTTATGGCCCAATTCTGTTGATGCTGCCGCCTGTGAGAAAGAAAAATCTGTTGTGAAAACTTTGAGGGGAAAAAGACTCTCAGGATTGGAGCTATACTTGGCCTGCTGGTGACATTCACACAAACAGAGCCTGTTTGTTCTGTTGTGTGGTACTGGACTGGCAATAAAGCCAAGCTATCAGGAAATGGAAGGAAGCAGGGCCAAGACTCTTTTAAACTTGTCCCGTGTATGTGCTCAGACGCCGTTTTGTATTTCCTTTCTGGATTTTAAAGGCATCCGAGTATGCCTGTGACAAGGGCGGCTGGCACTCCGTGGCCACATTTGTACCATGCCAGATATAACGGTCATCATTTCTTATTCATTGACGCTCTGCTGGAGTCCCTTGACTACATGAGCGCCACGCAGTAAAAATCACACACAGTGTCGTTTCTGAATAAAACACAAAAATACTAAATAAATTAAAAATAAAGGTTCCTACACATCATTCTCATATCTCAGAGGATTCCCTTCTATCACAGGGTTTCTGCAGGATTTTTAAAAACCAACATCAATTAGTGTATTGAGATCAAACAGTGCTGAAATGATGCATTATATCTGGGTTTTTATAAGCAAACTATAACTACTAGCTGCTCACGATTATTTAACACAATTATTAAAAGTAGACTAAAAGTAGTCTATTCATTATACTTAACAACCAAACAAACAAAAAACTTAATCTTAATGTTAGGGGATTTTCCTGAACTTTAATTATACTTCAAATGAGCAAATGAAATAAATAAATATGAAGTTAATTAAATCTGCCACAGTCTGGTGGGGAGTGAATTTGGACTTTTATGGAGAAGCAAAAGAACAGGATGTGCTGAAAGGCAAAACGGGAGATTTATTAAAAAACAGACTGTGGCACAATAATCGCTTTATCAGCACGGCCCCAGAGCCTCTTTGGTGGTAATTCATCAATACTGCTTGAACTATAACTGGAAACTAGAGCGCTTTCTTTACCTAAACTGTTGTTGCTTTCCCACCAATTCTACAAACTCATATTCAAGTATCTCATTAGAAAGATTACAGATTACAAAACGTATTCTTGCGTAAATTAAATTTAGAAATGAGCCCCTTTCTTTTAGATGGCCGACAAAGCTCATCTTGATTCTCCTTTTGCCTCCTTATGTGTACTTTTTTCGTTTCCCACAGGTGTGAAAAGTGTGGCTGAGCTTACACTCCAGTGTTTGTATTTGTTGAGAAGGTCATGAGAATCAAGCACAGCAGCAGGAGGTTAACGGCCGCTGTGAGGATTGAGGTTGTTAAAAGAGAGTTAATTGAGCTTAAAGTGGACTTTAAGCACAATTAACAATTCCACCTTCATATTCTCGGACTCTACTAGAGGAGCTTTGCATGATTTACAATTTAAAATTTTCCTTCTTTTTGTTATACTGCCTCCTGCCAAAAGAAGATTTTAACTGCTGGTGGATGGAGATAAAGGTTGGGACTCTCAGATGACCACAGAAGAAAGCTGTTGATCACTGACTCACAGGCGTTACCTGAACATATCCTGACTGTATTATTTGAAACTGTGGGCATCTCTAAAATGCAACGTTTTTCTGGCATATGAAAAATGTTGGCTTTCAACCAAAGGGAAATGACCAGAACTGCATTCACGAAGTCACCCATCCAAAGGCCTGGTTTAAACTTGTAAAAACCCTCATTTATAAAAGACAAGAAGGAAAATCCTTATAGTTCCCCTTTAATAAACAGGAGAATTATCTTCGCTGTGAAATGCTAAGGTTTTGTTTCTGTAATCTCAGCCTCTGACACCGACTGCACTGTTTCTGCCAGGAACTACCAGGAAATGGAGATGATCCTCTTCCTTGCACTTCAGTTCATTTCAGTTTCACCACTATCTCATTCTTAGTTTCTGTCTACAAAAGCAAAAATATTTCAAAACTTTCTAAATTTATAACAGCTTCTAAGGTTGTTTTTTTAGAGTACCTATACCTAGGGCTGTGCGATATGACCAAAATCTCATATCCCGATATAAGAATTCTATCGTCCAGATAACGATATAAATCACAAAAATGTAACATTTTCTTTAAATTCTGTGAATCTCGGGCAGCTCGACTTACGGGAAGTGTTTCCAGCTGCGCGTCATGTAGCTGGAGTCCAGTGTTTTAACAGATGCATGAAACTATACATTTTCAGACATAAGTTGTAACAGCCGCAGTTTTCTTTGTGAGTATTTATTACGCGTGCTGCGGGGAAAAGCCTGTTCTAACGTTTGAGTCTAAGGTTTATTTTTTAGCACCTGGCGGCTCTTTTTTACTTCTCATCCGTAAATAATCTGCTCTTTCACATGATTCAGTTATTTTGAAAAGTCTCAACAGGATCTTGAGCTTTATTGTGAAAGGTTTATGTGGAACATAAACAAGCAGACACGCGATGGTTTTACCGTGGTTGTTGCTAACGACAACGCATAAAAACAGGCGCTTGTCTGTCAGTAGTGTGGTTATATAAAATATAAGAGAAAGAGAGAACTTTAAGAAATTAATATAGCCACTACAGGGACCATCAAAACGATGAAAAAATATTGCCGTAAACAGTTTATTTTGCGACACCACGAAACAAACGATAGCGTAAAATGAAACGATAGATGTTTTTATATCGTCATCCGATATATATCGTTATATCGAACAGCCCTACCTATACCTATAACAGAACACAAAATAATGATATAGTGACAGACATGCACACATGCCTGTAAGACACTGACATACAGGTTTATAGGCTATACAAGGCTTCTTCTGTCAAGCAGCTGTTCAACCGACTCAGTCCATTAAGCCTCCATTTGTAATGCTGACCTTCTTCTCTGCTTCCTGATCGGCAGTGAAGGAAGAGGAGGGAGTCGCTGATCTGCGACGACACATCTTTCTCCTCTCCCTCTCTTTCTCTTCTCTCTTCCCCTTCTCTTTTTTATTATGAATATATTTAACTCTGAATTTTGCAACCATGCTCAAAAAGTCTCCCTTGGATATCAAACACTGCTTATATGTCCCATTTAATAGAAAATATCCTTCTTGTCAATTCCTAATACAGTTTTATTCCTGTAATATCAGCCTTTAACCCCATCTGCATTGTCTCTTCTAGTGTATCCACTCAGAATTTTTGCATTGTGGAATAAATAATATTAAGACTTCTTTGGAAATCAAACATTCTCTGCATCAGCCATTATGACATATGGAGTTCCACACAAATTTATTCTGGGGCCTCTACTATAATACTATATACTACTGTCTATAGGAGTTTCCAAGTTAGTTTCCTGGTTGTTTCCAATCAGTCTACTACCACTTGAGACAGTGTTAGCAAGCTCCCACTGCTTCCTTGTGCATTAAATAATACAGTATGAAGTGGCAGGTTTTGTTTATTGCTACTTTTTGTCTTTAATCCCCACAGTTGTAGTTCATATATCAACTTGTATCAACTGTGACTTTTTTGTTTTTAGATCAAAGCTGAAGACTTCACGTCGAGAACTGTTGACCTCTGGTACTGTCTGAATGCAGGACAGCTTGTTACTGCGCCGCTGTACGCAAGCAGTGTGAATGTCTCCATTGTAAGTTTAGATGTGCTACATAAATAGAATTTAGTTATTTATTTCTTATTACATTATGACTTATTTGTACAAGCCTAAAACAGTTAAACACAGCGGAGCAACATGAGGAACTCAGGAGTTAAGGAGGAAGAGTTATTTAGACATTACGTGTGCCTTTTCACTGACTTGAGAATACTTTTTTTTTTCACCTTCCACTTTTTACCAAATCTTTACGTTATTTAGATGTCTGGCCAAGTTCAACATCTTTTTAAAAAGCATTACTGGGTGTTTACACACCGTCAAAATCTTTAGATGTGGTTTAACTGAAATACTGTGGTATTTCTGAGGGTCTGCAGAAAAACTGGACAAAAATCTGTCTATTTAAAACCATTGAACATTATTTGATCATTAAAACCTTGAATTAAACTACAAATTTGATTGCTTACTTGTGAGTGAGAAACCCAGGAGGATTTCTTTATTAGGCTTACTAAAAGGAAATGAAAAGTACCTGCCAATGGGAGATTTTAATAACCTGGCAACCGTAATTTTGTTTTTATAAATGGCCTTTAAATGAGCTGTAAAGGATAATTTAATTATTCACTAACCATTAACACAACCTTTATTAAAAGGTGCCCCGTTGGTGAGTATTTCCATATAAAAACAACCTAAGGAGACACTGTCAGTGTCTGCCTTTCAGTGTGAGCTCTATATACTGACATTAATGCAGCCACAGATGGTTTCAGTGACCATCAGTGTTAAAATAAAAGGAATAAAAGGCCCTAATGTAGCCTTAAATGCCAGTTAAAATTCGAATGATACCACTCTGTCTCAGTATAATGTATATAGAGTGCATGGCTGGCTTACCATGTGGTAGTTTATGATCTCTTGCAGGCTTTCCCCACATTTTTCCAAGCACTCCTGCACAGAAAATAAAAAAAACCAGTCTTTAACTGCACAATACATCCAGAAAAATTCTCATAATAGTCTCACGCCACAATAGTTTCATTTTTGTGAATAAAAGAAGCAAATAAAATCTGTCAGAAACTACAACCATAATTTATATGAATTCTGCATGGAAGAAAATAAAAAGATCCACAAAGCTAAAAGTAAGTCAAAGCTGGTTAATGTCACTGAGCTGTACCATGTACAGGAAAAAGAGCTATAATTGCAGGACTGATTCATGCCATTTATTTTTATTCGTTTACAATGGAAACTACAAATATGAACAAGGCTTTAATAAGAAACTCACAATTAGTCATACAGTTGAAGCCAAAAAGGCTTTTAATAGTACTTAATGTCAGTAGCAATGAAAACAGTCCAAGACGCCGGAGTCGTGAGTCGAGCCAAGAAGTAAGTTTCCAGGCCTGATTTGATCCTCGCTGACTAATCTGTTAGTAATCAGGTTTGTTCACACAAAAACAATGTCCGAGGCTTCTCCTTGGACATTAGCTGATTTTTGAGGCTAAAAAAGGCTGATTTTTTTGGGCTGATTTTTGAGGCTAAAACCTTCCACAACCATATCGACTAAAAGACAAATGAGGCCAATAATACCAGATTAAAGTCTGTGATGGATAAAACCGAGGCTTTGTTTCAGAATCTCACCGAGATCATTACGTCCTTCTTGCACTGCTGAGACAGATCCCGGATGCCGTTGACAAAGAGCTTGTTGGCGCTGACATAGGCCTTTCCTGCTTCGATCATTCCACTGCATAGCTTCACCAGCTGTGGACAGAAGACAGACGAGGGGTTAAATGAAAGATGTTGAAGCTTTCAACACACGCATCGTATTAGCAGGGCTGTAGTTCAGCTTCAGCTTATGATGCCAGGTCTCTCTTGTAAATTTTTACCTGGATAAATAAAGGATTAATAACAAAAAATTAAGGAGATGACGATGGGCAGGCCTTGTATATCAGAAAAAAAAGAATCTGTATAAGGCCAAGGCCTAAAAAAAACCAACTGGATTCATTTAAGAAGGAGAGGTCATTTTAACCGCTCTGAGCAAGTCTTGAATGGTCAAAAATAAAATAAATTAAAAGAAAGATGTTTACAGCCTGGCACAAAAATCAAGGTTGAATTTTTGATATTATCCATCTGGACACTAGAGTCTGAGGTATAACTAACTTCAGTCACAGGTGTTGCAACCACATCCGCGTGTTCACTTGCACCATCTAAGGAAGGGGTCTTGAACTCCAGGCCTCGAGGGCCGGTGTCCTGCAGATTTTAGATCTCACCCTGGGTCAACACACCTGAATCAAATGATTAGGTCATTACCAGGCCTCTGAAGAACTTCAAGACATGTTGAGGAGGTCATTTAGCCATTTAAATCAGCTGTGTTGGATCAAGGACACATCTAAAACCTGCAGGACACCGGCCCTCGAGGCCTGGAGTTCGAGACCCCTGATCTAAGGGTTTTAAAAGCGATGGTGTGACAGCAACTTATCAATCACAACTCGTTAGCCAAAGACTATATCTTGGATACTTCTCCTCTCAAATGTTGACTGAAATTAGCAAATAGGCCTATAAACAGATTTACAGAGATCACAGGAGAGGGCTGTTTCCCTATAAATATCCTATAATAGTTCCAGTATCTATTATTGTAACTTGACTCTCTGCAGTATAACTCAGATCTAAAAAAGTAAAGTTTATTAAACAACTTATGATGGATAAACTGCAAATAAAAACATGCTATTTTCCCTTAAATGCTCGTCTAGCAAACCTCAGATGTGATGAGAAAATCCCTGCTCATGCAGTTGCACATGAATGGGGATGCGACCTGGCCAGCCAGCAAGAAAAAATTAGCCTTTTCTGGTCCATCTTTCAGTTTCTTGTAAACCTAGCGAAGCATTTAATCTCAGGTTTTATCATTTACAAATATATGTACAAGTGTCTTTTTATCTATTTGCTTTATTGCTAACCTATAATAATTCAAGGAAGGGATACTGTTTGTTTATTTTATATGAATTTGCTTTTGGTTATGTTAATTTAAGTTTTAAAATTTTAGTTGAATAAAAAAAAAGAAAATTCTGGATGGAAATCTTGGCCTGGTTTTCATATGGTGTTTCCCAATTGCACAACATCGAATGACAGTTTTGCATATGAAGGTGTTGCAATGAAGACCAGCCTCCAGGTATCCATGAAGAAGAGTGTTGATGAGTTTGAGCAGGGTTAGTAGAAAGCTAGTTGACATCTAAAGAGCATATCGAAATTACAACGTTAAAATAAAATCATGGCAGCGGCATCGTTTTTGAGCGGTTAACGCTGTTGCAATACAGAAACATTCCTGGCCCAACCTGCAGGTCAGCTGGGGCCATCTATTGAGTTTGCCTGTGTGGGTTTCCTCCAGGTGATCTTCCCACAGTCCAAAGACTGGATTGAGGGTGTTAAAATTAAACTGCATGTCCATGCATATCTCTCGAATGTAAATAAAGATCGCACTTTCTCCCATGTGTCAACACCTATGTGGTAAATAGAAGTCTGCTTAACATGAGGCTCCGTGTGACCCATCACTGAGGTACGATCCACGCTTAAGGCCAGCGGTTTTTATAACTCAACATCACATGCTCGAGTCACAACACTCAAGCTTTTGTTTCTCTGCGTTTTCAGCTCGTCGTCGCACCTGAGCCCCAGACGGGGATGGAGTCATCCAGCTGCATGTGTGCTGTCTATCCATCACCTGTGTTCACATATGGCAGTGTGTGCAGGTGGGCTCCGTATGTCAGCCCCTGACATCAGCTAGCCACCCTGCACGCATGTAAAAGAGCCAATGTTATCCAGGACTGGATAATGGACAGCAGACACCGGCAACTCAGCATGAATGTTTTTGTGCATTTCCAAGAACATTTTCTCTGTCAGCAGGTTTTTTCTGTCTGCTATAACGGCTGCTTTGTTTAGCTTCTGGTTTCATGAGAGGAAAATTAATCTCTTCTTATTTTTCACTCTGTGTTCTAATGCCAGGTTTTCTGCTTTTCAGCACCCGTCTTCTCCAGCAAGACTCATTTCCTCCCAGCTGCTAACCAGACATGAATCTGATGTGGCCTTTTCTTTGGTTTATAAGCAAACTCACCATTAGCCTAGCATTATGACTGAAAACAAGGCTTTACCTATCCTGCTATTAATAATACTAACAAAAAGCTTGCTAAAGCTCACCAGACAGCCAGTCTGCAGCACTCCCCATAGATTTGCAAAGAGATTTGTGTAGAGATAGACTGAACAAAAGTATAAAATTGCTTCCTGGTCTTAAAAAAAAAGAAGGGGGGACTAAAAGTCCCTTAAACTTGTATCTCCCAAAGGTCTTTAAAAGCCAGAAGGGGATAACTTCAGATCCATCAGTTCTCTTACTCTGTGCCCTCTTTAAATGCTTTCCTGATGACTCTAGGTGCATAATCACTACTTTCAAATCATACTGAAGTCTATTTTGTAAATTATGATTATGATGGAGTCAGAAAGGAGGATTTGGTTCAGTTTCACAGTCAGCTCCACCCCCTTAGTGCAGCAGAAACAGGTGAACACCTCATCACAAACCAATGGGAGGCGGTAGCTGAGTCCATCTTTCACGCGGTCTATGAGTCCCACACAGGCCTAGAAACCAGTCATTGTGTAGTCTCCAATAAGCTAGTGAGTGGTTGCTGGCTAGGTGTAACTGTTCACAAAGACAGTGCCACATCAAAAATCTCCTTGAGATTGATTTGCTGCAGTCACCCGTAATTTGCCATCAACTCACAGAACAGGAGTAAAAACTATAACACAAACCACAAACAGATATTGGTCACCATCAAAGCAAAAGCTGTGCCTTAGTCCTGCAAGCCAACCATTCAAAACAAGTTGGTTGCAGAGTTGTAGGGTTTCAAGGCAGGTCTGCAATGTAAACTACAGGTGACCTCAGCAATCCCAAGGTTTTCCATGCAGCACCGTATACTTCTTTGCAACTAATCTGACCCAGTGACTGCCAGCAATGTCCAGTACTCACTTCTCAATCAGTAAGGAATGACACACTTTCCTGTCCTCTTGTGCAGCGGTCCCCAACCTTTTTTGCGCCACGGACCAGTTTAATGTCAGACGATATTTTCACGGACCGGCATTTCAGGTGTCGCGGATAAATACAACAAAATAAAATGATATGACCAAGACAAAAACCGTGGTATTTTGTAAATATAATAATAAATGCAAATTCACTGTGTAATTGTATAAGTTTTTTTATCAGCATCCTCCTGAAATGTGCCAAAAACACCGAGAGTAACATCCTCCTCTCTGCCCCTTAATACTCTCCGGTCGCTATGGTAACACGTAAATATTTCTTTCAAAATAAGACACACAACAACAACACGGAAAAAGAGCCAGGGAAACCGAGTTAACGATTAAAAACCCTGAAAAGCATAAATTTCACACCCAAGCCTCAACTTTCGGTACGAAAGGACTCACGGACTGGTACCAGTCCATGGTTTTTTCAAGTAACAAGTAAAGTAAGGGATTACTATTGCAAAAAAGTAATCTGATTACTGTAACTTTCCTGTTAGCACGCTGCGTTACTGTGTTACTAAACCGCGATTTTGTTTGTGAGACAATGACGTACTCATGACAATGACGTACGAGCGTGTGACGTTCGTGGCAGCAACAGACGTGTACAGATCAACATGGATAATATGGAGCGTGGGAGAGAGTATGACCATGCAGCGTTTAATGCTTGGAAGTACTGACATTACTTTGAGTTTGATTCTGTAAAAAGAATCAAAAAGAATAAAAGAAAATATGTTTAAATGTTAAACAAACCTTTTTCTACCTATATTACCCAAATCTTATCAGCTAATATTTATGTAAATATTTAGATTCACGTAAGAAGTTAGCTTTTTATGCAATTTATTATTTACCATTTTACTATGCAGTTTTATACAATTGATGATCAAATTTCAGTGCAAAAAACACACATGTAAGCCTCTTTAGAGTATGTTGATGGTTAAATGCATCTTTGTGAAGACCCTGGTAGATGAATATTAAAAATGACAGGAATGCCTGTGGCCTGGTATATGAACTAACAATGGAGGTTCCCAACAATGATGGCAGTAAAAGAACAGCCTGATTAGTGCTGGCTCTTTCTGACACATGCAAGTCAGAGTCAGGGTCAGGGTCAGGTTGAGAACAGCACCAGATGGACCTGTGACAGGAGCATTACAGCTGGAACATCTGGCTACCTTATTAAAGGGCAACTGCACGCTCTGAAAGCCATGCAGTCTGATGTTTTCTGTAATCCCCATCTTGCACTGCTGCCACGTCACGTTTCAGCAAACCTGAGCTGAACTCTTCAACTGGGCCGAGCAACAATACCCCGTCCATTATGCTAGCAGTGTTAGCACTAAGGGATTAGGCACTGCACAGTGATATAATCCTGTGTGTAATAGGCAGGCCGTGGCTAAGGTCTGCCGCAACTCAATATAGTGTGACAAAATGTGGAAAGAGACCAAAATTCCTCTTTTTCAGCCATTAGTTCTGCAGTATTTCTACCAATCAGGGCTGCAGTCAGTGTGAGAAACACCCTGTGAATTTCACTGGGTCCCATATGTTTGCAAGGATTCCCTCATTAATAATTAAAAACATAAAACATGGGATAGGCTTCTTTGGCACACTAGGTGGGCTTCTCCAAATGTTTCTAATTTACAACAGAGTTTGGTTTTTTAAAGGGAAAAAAAGATGATTTTATACTTCTGCAAATGTGCAAACTGAGATATTTCTGCTAAAAATATAGTTGAGATGCTCTCATGGAGAGAGGTGCATGCACGGCTGTGTAACTCTGTGGATGGCAACAGTGTAAAAGATTGCTTTGCTTCACTTTTAAACTATCCAAACACGCAGTTCTGATAGTTCAGATTTTAACATAAATATTAACAAAATATTGACTTTTAAGTATAAAAATTCTCCTTGTAAGAAAAAAAGAGAAAAACAGAAAATAACTTGTTTTTTTAATCTTCCTAAATATATGACTGGCATCATTTAGGGGTCTGATTACAAGCGCTAAAGGCGATCGTGGCTCAAAGAGTTAGCAGTTCGTCTTGTAACCGGAAGGTTGCCGGTTCGAGTCCCGGCTCGGACAGTCTCGGTCGTTGTGTCCTTGGGCAAGACACTTCACCTACCGCCTACTGGTGATGGCCAGAGGGGCCAATGGCGCGATATGGCAGCCTCGCTTCCGTCAGCCTGCCCCAGGACAGCTGTGGCTACAACTGCAGCTTGCCTCCACCAGTGTGTGAATGAGTATTGGAATTGCAAGGTGCTTTGAGGGCCCCGAAAAGCGCTATATAAATGCAATCTATCATATATATATATATATATAAATAAAAGAAACTGTCTTTACAAAGTCTTTCAGAAAAATCTGCAATAGAGATTTCTAATTTAAGAGTTTCAGATCACCTTTTTGATTGAATTTTAAGGGAAAAGAAATCACAATCTTTACCGAGCTCAGGTAAAGGGACTAAACATTACCATAAAAAAAGCTTCATATCATACTGTAAGACTGGACGATTTAGCTGAAAAAATGTTGCAAATGAACATTTAGTATCAACAATCTTACAGCTTGCCACACTGACACTTAACGCCATGACCTCATTATGTTTGCTTTTCTAAAAAAAACAAAAACCCACACACACACCAAAAAAACGTTGGTGCCCCTAAGCTTCATAAAACCGGACTGGCTTCTTTAAGGCGGCAGGTCTTTTGCCTTCAGGTGTGCTCGGGGCTGAGTTTCTGTTTCATTTATTCTGAACACGTTTTTGAAAAAGCTATTGAAACTTGGCCTGGTTTCTGTTTACTGCTTATAGAGCAAGAAAAACAAAGCAAGTACTGACAGCGTGGACTGGGAAAACTGAAAACATTATAGAACGCTTACTTTGTTTATCCAATATTGTTTTCGGTCTTTCATTCGCAATAACTTCTTTATGGAAAGAAGCAAAGGAAAGACACCAGTAGAAGTAAAAAGAAAGCCCACAGACATAAATATTAAGACAATTTGCACTACATTTTTCCCTTTCACAACATCTTACAGCATCATCTTTGTATGTTAACTAGTTAACTAGAAGAACCGTCTTACCTTATCTAGTTTTGCCTCGATCTCCACCACCTCTGTTTCTACCTCATCAATATTTGCCCTGAAAAATAAAAGCAGGAAAAATCCATTATTACACGTGTGGTAATGTGTAACAAATTGAATTATGTTAACTTATTGGAAAACAGTTGATCTGCAATAGTCTTATTATTATTCCCCACATTCCCAGAAATGAAACAGAGTTTTGCGGAGCCAGGCGAGACTCCGGGTGTGTTTTTAAATGAGCGAGACGCCATCCTGGGAGCAGCTCAGCTCTGTCAAAACAAAGTGATAGACATGGTCTCTCCGCAGCGAGGGGAACATAGCTGTCTGGCTCATCACACAACCCCCAGTCCACCTACTCACTGTCAACACTGAAACCGCACCCAGCCGCATCTGGAGCTCCCCTCTCCACCCTTGAGAGACGTGTGATTTACACCCAGAGGCAGCATGACACAGGCCTTATGAACACCACTTAGAGGCTCCTCCGCATGCTTAGGTCATGTCAGAGTATGTGCGCTGCGAGCACGTCTACGTTCACCGCCCTTATGTGCCGCTCTTCTGTTACGGTATGTGCTTCCTGTTGCTGATGGTTTAAATATGATCTACAGCCAGCTTCTTCATGTAGTCACATTTTCCAATTTTTAGCGTGAACCCCAGGGATGGAAATGTTGGTCAGTCGGTCAGGCTGGATCTCTTGTTCCAGGCAACACAAATATCCAAGCAGCTGTACAGTTATCTATGAGGCCTAGAGCACACACACTGTTAAAACTTGGCTTTACCGCCAAATACCAGCAGAACTAATTACACCCAAATTCAGTGTTTGCAGATGATTGAGCACAGCTGATTTGTCCTGTTTGTGATTTCAAAGCTGGGAGAACTGGCTCATCCAGTGCTAGTGTGCAATTTGGAAGTGCTGTGTGTTGAAGTTTTCCTTCACTGTTTAATGATAAGGACTTGTTGGATGCCTGGTTGCTCAATTTAACCACCTTTACAAGCAAATGTACATTACTGCTCACCCCTAAAGACTCAAAATCGTTTGTTGCTTTAATGCACGTTGAGCCAAAATGAAAAAAGGGAGTGACCTTTTGGATTTATCCAGTGGAGGTAAAACCCACAAGGTAAGCATACAAGTCAAACTACCATTAGCATCAGTCTACCCAAGCGCAAGCATGTCTGCCATCTTAAGCCGCCCGTCAGAAATCTAATGTGTTCATAGTTGATGTGAATATCTACAGACTTAGAGGGAAAGCAGTAAACAACAGGTGTTGTTTGCATGGCAAATTTGTATAGCAAGGTCGAGATGGAGGGCAGGAGGTGTCAGAGCGTGGGAAAAGAAGAAAGATGTCTGACAATTCACACTTTTTTCACACACAGGACTCCTTTTTCAAAGTTTTATATCAATGTTGTATTACGAATCGCACAGCTGCTCCATCAGATTGCAGTCGTGGCTGGCAGAATACACATCTCCGACTCATTTCTTCCTCTCTGGCCACTGGTGGATTAATCCGCTTGAACAAGCTCATGGGACGGAGGATGGCACATGTTCTCCAACCCCCACAGCTTCTACTCCCTTAATATGGAACCGAGAGGATTGGGGGAGAGAAATGCTCCAGAGAGGAAATGTCTGTCAAAAGCTCTAACTCGTGCAGAATGGAAACATGCATTACCTAAATAATCAATACCATATTATTCCACATGTGGACACGTGCTGTTGTAACCTCAACTGATCTCCTGCTGAACGGCTCTGAGCCCAACCACGCCCAGGGATTATCTGCCAGTGAGCGAAACTGTTTTCATTGCTGATGTCATTTTAGAAGCTGCTCTTTTTAAAAAATGTGATAGTGCAGCGCTTAGCAGGCGCTCGCTTTTCAAAAGGCTAGTTCTCCTCATGTATTCATGGCTCCAGCAGTTCTTGGGACTGATTTTAATGTCATGTTTTATTTGCAAATGTCCACAGAAGAGTTTAGATGCTTTTGGTGGGGTTTTTTTTATAATAATCGACTACTTGTGAGTTATTAAGAAACGAGATAAGGTTAAAAATAGATAGCAACTGTTCTAGCAGACTTGCTGCCCTAAAAAAAAGTAGTTAACTTCTCAGGGTGTTTGGTGAGGTGTACTGTATTTTGGGCCATGTCTGCTGCGGTAAAGCAACAGATGAACCTGAAGGAGAAGCTTTTGATTTACCAATCCATCATGTTGTAACCCTCAACCATGGTCATGTGCTCTCAGAAGTAACCAATCTCATTATTTTGGAGTAACCAAAACAATGAGGCTGTTGTGAGAAGGGGTGCTTGTGGGAAATGTGATTATGTACTCATGCTTTCATTTTTTCATTGTAGGTAGAGAGGATTAGAAAGCTATGCTTAAACTTGGGTGATTTTGTTTAGAGTGCTGAAGTGGGGAAGACCGCAGGCAGGACAGTTGAAGGAGAGGTACAATGGGTGGGCCACCGAACCCATAAGACTGTGTTGACTTCCGGTTGTGAGCCAGACCTCGCTAGACGTCGCGGAGGCAGGTTACTTAGGTAGGTCTCCGGATCCATCTGTATTTTATTTATTTTAAGCGCAAATAAAGACGTCTAATTTTGGAAGTAAAAGTTTCCGCCTGATCACTACCATCAAAAAGAATCCGTGAAATCGGCGTACTTCAACACTGCGAATATAAGGGTCGCTGTTTCTTCGAGTCTAAAGGAATCCTAATCAGGGGAAGACCAGAGCTCGCTGAAAAGATTGTATGTTTCATTTTGTCCAAGATTCAAGATTGATGAAGGATGGATGGATATTCAGATGATACGTGGTGAGAGTAGAAGCTGTGGTTATCAAGGTCGACCACTCGGCTTAGGCCAACCCTTCAAACCAGCTTATTTTTCATTATGGCTTTATCTGCCACTCATTATTTAAATCCACACATTAACTGATTATTGGATAAAATACTGAAAAATACTGGGAAAAAAATGCCTATCACAAAATTTACAATAGGACATCTGAACTGTTTGATGAGATAAACCAAAGAAGATTTACTTCTGCTCAATTTAAGTTTTCTTCTTCTCTTCACGACATACAAGGCGAGTTCAGGATCAAAAATGGGTCGGAAAATTTAAACCAACGTGCCATTTTTTATATCCTACTGCTGTCACTAGTTCTGTGTCTACAGTTTAAAACTAAATGTCAAAACTGAAAATTAAAAGCTGAAAATACCTTCTGCTGGCTCACCTGCAGTACCATGATAGTCCCCACACTTTTGGAAATCACAGGTTAGTCAATGTAATGTTTGTAGGTTTTGTCTAATAAATAAAAATCTGTGATGTTTAGCCCTGCCTGACGGGGGGTCAACTTAGGCCAGGCTTTCAAAACGCTGGCAAAAACCCTGATCATGGAAAATGAAAACCTCAGAATGTTTGGCATGATAACAAATGACTGAAACTAACCAAGTGTTTCAGTTCCAGTCTGTTGGGCAAAGTGGAAAAATCCTCTCAAAACATCGTGTACACAAACATAAAAGATGCCACAAACATTAAACCTCAGTTACGCTGGTCTAACAACACCATAATGTGAACAATGTGTGTCTTGCAGTGATGGACGAGTTTCGGGTACAGCGTGGTGACACCCCAGCTAGCCGTCCCAGATGTGCAGAGACCGGCTCGTAGGACAGCTGCTCCCTCCAGGCTGTATCCCCCCCACTCCCCTTTTTTTCTGAATGCACACGCCTCCTATAATACATGCAGATGGAGCCTCGGGCCTGTAGCCACGGTAACCGTCTCTTAAGTGGGCCGCAGAAGTCCCTGATGTGCTTGTGAGCTGACCCTCATTCACACCAAGAGGAGCGGGGAAGCCAAATAGTGCCTTACGCGACTCATTACAGGGCTGGAGCGACAAGAGACCACCTCCATTAAAACCTCATCGGGAGCCCATTAAACAGCAGTACATCCAGATGTGGTTCACACAGACGCCACCAATCAACTCACGTAAACACGGCGCTCCTTAATGGCTGATTAAGACCCAACAGCAACACCCACAGTACATTTAAAACACGCCGTCTAAAACATTCATCCGACATGAAGCCGTGTAGTTAAGCCACGGTGTAAAAACATAATAAACACAGAGATTGTGCTGAGCAAGCTGCAGGTCTGATGGTTTCTGGCTGGTGGCGTGCTGACTGGGCATCCAGGGGAGAGGCTGAGGTGCCTTTTACTGGCCCAAAGTCACAGAACACCTCTGTTTCTCGTTAATTCGAGAACCACTGCACGTCTTAACCAGTTCCACCTGATGCTAAACGGAGATCTTTTGAAATGCTGGAAGGTAAATAAGTGTGATGTCCATGCTGGCCAGCTGTTTTGTGATTTAAAGTATCTTCTCAGGGAAAATGTTTTCAGTTCAGACAGCAGTGGTGGAAAATTTTAGTCACATCCTTCACTTAAACCAGGTTATTTTTGTGTCCACCTTTGGGTTCTGAGGTTAAGATGTCAGTTCAGCTGGTCTCTAACTCTGTCTTAGTCATGTACCGAGGTTATTTGGAGCTTTTTATCTCAAGAACAGCTGCTGCAGCAGAAAATGACACCTTAAGAGCAGAGACCGTGATCCAAAACAGGAAAACAATAAGCTGAAATGCTAATGCAAGAGCTGCAGATTGAAGCGATAATTCTCTTTACAACAACCTTTCTCTCTAATCATATTCCACTGAAAACATTACATAAACATTACAGTGAAATAACATGTTTGTTACAAGTAAATGAAAGGAAACAGTCAGATTAGTAACATGTACATCACAATCATTCTAGACCTCAGCTGTCAAACGTGTGGTTTGGGGACCAGAACCAATCCACCAGACGTTCCAATTCAGCCCACTGAAAATTACAGGAAAGTTTAATTGGTAAAGATGTGTGAATCCCTCACCAAAGGCAAAACAGACACACAGGACACCGAGCGAAACAACACAAACACAACCTGTTTGAACAGGTGAGTTTTAAGCTGCTCTTTATAGGCTGTCACAGAGTCACGGGTGCAAAGCGAGAGTGGGAAGCTGTTCCGAAGTTTGGAAGTTAAAATTTGGAAGTCCCAATCA